CCGGGCTGGGGATTCGAACCCGCCACCTTAGGTGTACGTGGCTGGCGCCTTAGCCGGTTGAGCTATAGGTGCCGAGCCCACTGCATTATTTTCAAAGAAATAAAAATAGAAGGAAAGTTCTGACAAAAATACAGTGCTAGAATAATTAGAAAAATGGTGTTCATTTATTTAATGCATGTTTAATTACAAAATAGCATTATGAATTGTACGTCATGAAGACTATAAAACTCATAATAATATTTCAAATCATGGCACAAAAAAAACCTTAATATTGTGATGCTATAATATTGAACTTGTTTCACATTACCTTTTTATGGAAAAAGTTATAGTAGATATGATGTCACACTTAAATTTAGAAAGCTAATATTATTGAACTTTTTTTTATATCTACCACTTTAAGCAAATGACATTCAAAAATTGTCCTTGGTATACTAACGTACAAGAAAAAAAACTGACTAAACCAGCTACAAAATTTAACTATACAAAAACACTAAACAAAACTATACAAAAACCACTAAGAACTAAATAACTAGGAGTTCAGAGATGCTCCACTTGACTGTCACACAGAAGCTGACTGTTCCCAGGGTAAACTTGTAAGTACTGGAACAAGGATTTTCTTGACGCTGGAAAAAAGCTGTGTAGAATTCTATTCGTGGAACCAGAGTTGAGCCTGGACACTAAAATGTTCAGGAGAATAAGAGATCTCTTTGTGCACTGGCTTTCAAACATTCTTGAATGAATCATACAGAATTTCACAGCCTTGGCCAAAAGTAGGTTGGTATTAACAAATAATCCAGTTTCTCCCAATCTTAATTCAGCTTTGAAGTGAAATACGATGCTAAAAATTACCTAAGAATTATATGAATAAAGATGGGGGGGGGGAGTAGATGTAAGTGAATATACATTACTTAAAAATTGTAGTTAACATTAAGATGCTCCACACCCCAATTAACATCACAAATAAGGCAAATTCCAGTCTCTATCACCCTGTACTCAAGAAAGATGTATATAATTTTTGACTGTTATTTTACAACCTCCAAATCATTATTTTCAAATATTTGCCAAAAACAAAAGCCTATAGATAGTGCAAATTCTAGAAAACAATTCCATCCACTCTGTTGCGTAAAAAAATAGAACATGAAATAGTACACGAGAAATTTAACTGGTACAAAGAATGTATCTCAATTATGCTTTATTATAACCAATTATAATCATAAAGTCTTATGTAAGACTTTAACCAAATTTATTTTTCCAAAATATGCTTTCCAGCAAAAAGAGAAACAATGAAAAATAAAAGGTACTACTTATATACTATTTGTTTTAAATAGCACAATGATACTCATACACTGAAAGATTATGTGAGAAATAACTATGTTCTATGATCATTGGCTGATGATTCAGCTTTGTGGCATAAGTTAAATGTATCATTCCTTAAGTATAATAAATACTTTAAATAAACACACAACCAATATACAAATTCTTAAGTGTATCTATGACTTTGCTTTGAAATAAACATTAAAATGTGATAAAATCAGTTTCCCAACCATTGAAAATCAAAATTCAAGACAGGCATTTGATAGAAGGATCCAAGCAGATTCCTATGACCATACTCATTCAAGTTCATTCTCATCTGCTTTTACAGATCACCACCTGACCAAAGTTCTTGGAGACAGTCCCAGCCTATCATTCAAGTTTTATACTAAAGAGACCAAACTATGGAGAGATATTTACGAGAATGCAGAGTCAAGATGTTTTTCAATAATTCTAGAAACCTATGTTTTCAAGTAATGTCTAATTCACCAAGAATGCAGAGCTAATTCTTAATTAACAGGCAACTAAACAGTATTGATTTAGAGAAAATTTAACACTAACTATACAATAGTGGACAGATAGATATAGATTAAAACTAGACATTAAGCAAAACAGATTTGCCTTCAAACAGTTTTTTTCAAGATTCAAAAGATTTATTTGGAAAAATCAGCACAGGGCAAAGGAATCCTTAATAATCCTTCTTAGAATATTTGAATATTCAGAATCTATATGAAACGTAGGCAGCAACTCTGATTTCACAGAACATTAATGGCTTATACAAATTAAACTCCCATACCCACCCACTCCCAAATATACTGCTCTATCTACCCGGTTATTAGCTTTCATTAAGCATGTACCTTTAGGGCTATTTGCACAAACTAAAAGGCAAAATCTTTATTTTTAAAGGATTAGGATTAGTTAAAACAACTGAAATATTACTGTTACAGCAGAGTTTAGTAAGACCATAAGAGAATACCACTAATAACATTTTTAAATTATCCAAAATGATTTCTTTATTGAGATTAAGTAACTACATAAATTTCACAGTACTATGGCATACTTGTATTTAGCTAAAGTCACAAACACATTTTAACATTGAAAATGATGACCATCATCATTACCATTCTAATCTACAAGGCTTATAATAAAGAAAAATACAAAAAACCTCAGGTTTTACAAAAAAAATTTTAAGTCTACATACATTAACAATAAAATCATTTCTTCCAGGTAACAGATAAAAGTATAAAGGCATACCACTGACTTTTTTCTTCTGTATAGCCAGGAATAAAAGAATGTTTAGTATCTACGACGCTTATTAGGGCCTTCAAAGTTGCCCCCTTGACTTCCTCTACCAAAGCCACCAGGACCACCACTCACAGGACCCACACCACTCATCGGCGCTTGAGGGGTTTCAGAACCTGTTCTACTCCCCATAGGTGAGCCCATCTGAGATGGTGGTCCTTGGGGAAATCTATCATTGTGCTATAATACCACATAATAAATATGAAGTCCATTTGGAACACGCCAAATATAAGTGACAAGAAAAATTGGCAAAATCCCAAGTGGTGGTGTCATGAAGTTCAGCAGAAAGTCCAGCAGAATCAGGATCATACATAGAAGGAAGAAAGGAGCAATTGAATTAGTTACTATGTTTTTTATTTTAAATGCAGCATCTGAAGATTTACATATACTAATGCTATGCCCCAATTTCATGAAAAAAACTGATTTTATTGGATAAGCAAATGCCATATTAAGCCAAATCAGTATTACAGCAATGCTCTGACTGCCTTTTCTAAAAACTTACATTGCAAGAAAACTATGCTGTGAAACTTTGTTTTCTTAAATCAGAGAAATAAAACTGGGGAGCAGCATCACATTCTCTTTTTAAAAGACAACAGTCTAAAATTTTTAACATAGAAAGCCCTAGTACAAACACTCAAAGAATTAAGATTTCAATATGGAAACGTTTGAGGTATTTTCCTTGAAAGATTATTATTGAGAAAATAGATTAAGCTTTAAAACTCAGTAATATGTACTGTATCAAATTATTTTGAAAAACATAATAACCACACATAATACAACTCCCTAAAGTACAGCAGTAAAATGAGAATGCAGAAAAGACCGAGAATGATATTTAAATAAACTTTGCAACTGCAAGAAGCGGGTAGAAAAACGTTAATGTTACTTCTAAGTTACTACTGATTACATGCTATGCAAAAATTTAACCAAAGTAGTGTTAATTCTGTACTAGCGTTCAGACATTTTACTATAAAATAAAGCCTGTAATGAAGGAAACAAATAACTAGCTGTTATCATGTGCCATCTGTTCATAATAAATACACATTGCCTCTTTATCTCCTTGTTCAAACTATCATTTAAACTTCCCAACTGTTAGCATATCCATTTTTTCCCAAAAGACTGAATGAAAAGCAAATTAAAACATAAGCATTGCATTTATCAATTCTAAGATGTATGATGTACTGTTTATAACAATCACGATAGATTTACAACTGATGGCATATCTGAGTTTAACTGGCAGTGCTTTTTCTAGCAGCAATAGAATCTTAAGATTTGATATGGCAGTTTTAAAATAACTGCCTTTTCAAAATATGAAATCAACCAGTTTTTCTTTCTAAATGTTATTTAGAACAAAATTAACAAACACTAAGTGAGAAACTATTTTGCCTATATAAAGCACCATTTACATAGTGAAGGACTTTTAGGAAAATGATAAAAGGTATCATTCTTGCTACTGATAATAAAATATAAAAACTACAACTGAAAAATCTTGTTTTCGTAGTACTTAACCCAAACAAAGATATCTTCACACTCTCAGATCAAGAAGAAAATATGTCTACTTTAAATTTAATTACAAATGTAATTAGCAAGTCTGTGAAAAGGATGTAGCTGTAAAGAATATACACAAAAACTTTGGTATTAATTATATACAGTTAAATTTTTACACATATTTAGAGTTTTGTCCCCACCAAAGGTAAGGAGTCCACACAGGAAAAGAACATAATAATAAAATACTTGACCATTACATCAAACGCTCATAAAAGGTGGATACAAATGACTGGAAAACACTAACATGGGGTACACCACAGCATGTCATGGGTAGTAATCCTTACTGGTACTTGTGGGTAACTTAAAAATTACTTCTTATAAATAAACATATAACGTCACAAAATCATTTTCTTTGTTGGCTACTGATTGCTACTGCTAAAACAAACAATGCTAAATTATTAAGTGTGAAGTTATCTTTGGGGCATAAGTGTATATTACTGTATATAATCAAAATAATGTTTATGATACATTACCACTGCTCCATTATCTGGCATCATTGGAGTTCCCATATTTGCAGCTCCTTCTGGTCCCATGGCAGGACCAGGACCCATTGGTGGGCCAGGTATAGTTCCTCTGTTGTTCATATTCATACCCATCATTGGAGGAGGACCTTGGTTACCAGCAGGTGCTGGGCTAAACGCATCTATGTAAAACAATCTATACTTAGAGCTGTCCTATCTTAGTTTAATAAACATTAAAAACTTAACAATACTTATGCAATCTATATAGCAAGACCATTAGCATTAAAATCATTTAACAATGGGACATATTATCTACTCTGCAACAGAGAATACCTACATCCTATGATGTTCATCCTCAAAACAAATGTACATAAAACTATTATTTTAGGACCTTTAAGACTAACAGTTTGAAAATTTTAAAATATCGTCACTATTTGCTATAGTCTGCTTTGAACCAAATAATCCCTAACAATGATGACTGCACTCTACCTATTTAAATGAAAAAAGAATTAGCACTTAGGAAACCACTTCATTGTTTCAAAGTCATGGCCAAGAACATCAGCACAAAATAAAGATCACTATAATTACTCTTGGCTTTTATGTATATTTATTAAATACCCCCACTATGAAAATTATATGAGGTATTCTGCAACTTTATATTGAAAAATACAATCTAAACAAAAAAATTAAAATGATTCCTCATGACAAAGCTTATTTTCAAAAGCAAGTGCAGCCAAATGAGTGTATAGACAAAATATTAATCCAGCTATCTGGACTGTTTCAACATGCTCACATTCTGGAAATGGGAACAATCAGATACACTTCAAATTTTTTCATCCACAAGTTATCCACCCAGCTCATATTTAACTGTAATAGTGTTAGAGCTGTAATACCATATATATGGTGGTCACAAATACAACACGTTTGGGTATTTTCTTGGAATTTTTTCCTAAGTGTTCATATTATCAAAAATGCACAACATAAGACTAATTCTAATTTAGAGGTTTCTTCCAGTATTTCATTAAGTAGGTCAATTTCCTGAGTTTCCTTCAGAACTCAATTTCTGAAACAAACATTATAAAAGGAGTGGAATCCATAACTCTACATAATCCCTAATGCAGACTTCTGTATGTATATGGCTCAGTCCAAGGAGCAGCTGAGACAAAGTTTCTCATTTTCTACCAGGGGCCATCATACCTCTGTTCTTTGAACAGTAACCTTGCAACTTCATAGAAAGTAAATTTTTTTTTCCAGTTTTTTGGCCAGGGCTGGGTTTGAACCCACCACCTCCAACATATGGGGCCAGCACCCTACTCCTTTGAGCCACAGGCGCTGCCCAGGAATTATTTTTTTTTAATCTCAAATGTTCTTGCTGATTTACTCTTTATCCAACATTGAATTTGAATTTGAATTTGAACATTTGAATTTCCTCAGTATAGCTATAAATATCCATTTTTAATAATTCCTACAATCTAGAAATGAAAGAGAACAGTATCTAAGGAGGTGTCTTACCCTTATTTTCCTCCAAAAGAAACAAATTAAGGATAAATTTCTCTCTCTCTCAGAACATAACTGCTACACTTGTGAGTTTGGAATGTGCCCATAAAACAACTATGAGTATAAAAAAATAAAAGTAGTATTTCCAATTATCAGCAGTTAACTCAGAGTCTTATTTTTATTCTTTTGCTATACAACTACAACTAAACTAATGAATGCTAGCATTATCTGGTAACTGAAAGTAGCTTTAGTTGCCATATAAACTAATGACACATCTGAAAATCTACTGAAACATTCCTTCAGTGTAACTTGATGGGATATGACATTTTACCCACTCAAAACCAACCCAACAGGATGATAATAATTTCAGGAAACCTTTTTATAATGTCTCACATTGAAAGAAGACTAAAGAAAATTAAAATGGATGGTTCTCTGGTGAATAATGTCATAAAAACTTCAAATTCTCTTGAATCTAACTATAAGGAATCTACAAGTATAATCTCATATTTCTGATAAAGTTGCTAATTAAGGAAACAAGAATGTTTTGGGGATATCTCTGAACCTCAGAAATGATTTTACGTTTTATACTATTTTAAAACTTAGTTCTGATGTTAATGACAATCTAATAATAATAATGGCCTTTCTAATGGCCTATAATCCACAATAACCTCACTCTTCCAAATCTGAAAATCACATGGATTACCTTATAAAACATCCCAAAATTTACTCTGAAAAAAGACAAACCACTAATACATTGTTATATACTCAACTTCACTTCATAATTCACAACTTACATGCTACTCTTGGTTCACTAATTATTTCGTGTACTCATTGTACTAACATCACAATTAAGATCTCTTTGTTTACCAGAGATACTCAAAAAACTACTTGTTGGTAGAAAAGTGACCAAGTAAATAGCAATAAATGATTTCAGATTATCTGAAGAACTGGCATCAGGATATTTTCAAAAACAAGTTGATCATGGAAAATTTTAATTCCACATTACATGTTTTCAGTTTCATTTCACATATTCATGACAACTTTCATGGGGCAATTTAATGTGAAATGAATATATACATAAGATTTAATTCATTATCCAATTTTTGATTGTACGGTATTACAAATTTCAATTTTACTAAGACCTAAGCTACTCTACACTTATTTTTCCCTCAATTTATTTTACTTGGTACTACTTCCCTAACAATCCTACCATATAAGCCAATCAATTATTAAAGTTGCTAATATAGGTATCTTTAAAACTTTACATGAATTCTATAAAACATGCATTAGTAAGACACATCTTACTTCCTAGACAAGTCACAGAGGTCTCTCAACAGTATATTACTTTGCACAATACTGTAGAATTAAGGGGAAAATGTTAAATATTCAGCAAAGTGATTAACAGCTTCAAAGTTATACAAAAAGCTAGTATAAAATAGAAATTCTATAAAATGTGCTAAAAAAGTTTAAAAACAACTCAAAAACTAATAATTCCCAGGGGAAAAAAGCCAATTTGAAGGTATAAAACTTGATTTTAAAAGCATAACAGAGTTGTATTACACTATGCAATGACTAAACTAGTTTAGGACTATAGCAAAACCTGACTTATAAATTCCTTTCATAAAATCTGTCAAGGAATAACATCTCTCTAGCCTTCAAAAACACAAAATAAAATTTTTCTTCCTGTACATATACGTTCAATATAATTGTGTCTTATTTCAACATAACAAATGTAAGAGATTTCACCTTTACCAAGTGACTGATTCATATTTTGGTTTCTTACTGATATGTAGATACCACAAACACCATATACAGTCCCCCAAAGAATTACAAGGAAGTTACAGAAGCCTTTTGCTTCAAATCCCTACCTCCCATGTTTATTGCTCCACGGGGACCCATATCACCCATTCTCATTTCCTGTTCTCTCTGTAAGTAAACATAGTTGTCACAGTCAACCTATCGATCTTATGACTTTACACTTCCCATCTAAAATCAAAAAGAAAAGAATGAGACTGGACATAATTGTCCACTTAAATTTTTCAAATTTTCCATTATCATTTACTTAACAAGAACACTGAAAAGAAACTTCAGTCTCCCAGGCCATATATATATATATATATAAAACAAATGGTTAGAATACCCAATATACAGTGCAAGATTAGGTTTTCAGTGAATCAGATTATGTGATATTAATTGCAAATTATTTTTAATATTTGTATTCCAAAAAATCAAAGACATGTACCTAAATTTTAAGCATTAAAAAAATCTAGTAATAATAACCACTGGGGCCAATTATTTTTTCCTCTTAGGTCACTGGTCTTAAAATAGAAATGACTGTAACCACTGCTTATATTGAAATATTCTCAAATATACAATGCATAGAGCTTTAGTGCAGTAAGCTAAAAATAAAGGAACAGATAATTTTCACCATTTAAAAATTGTAATTCATTCTTGTATTTTTATTCAACTATTCAAGAATGCTTAAATTTCATCCAGAGGCTATAGATACCCATAAAAGTCTCTATACCAAACAAGAAATTACTGAAAGTTTGGCATAAGACTGACATAACACTGCTTTAACAATGTGACTTAAAAACCTATATGAAAGTATTACACAGTTGACAAGTTTTAAAGTAATGAGTCCTTGAGGTTAACTACAGCACACGTCATATAAATGTTGAAAATGTTTGAAATTTCATTATAAGAATAGCTTCCTAACAAGTCTTCATTTACCAATAATAGTTATAAAGAATTAACTTCAATGAAATCTCTAGGTGAAATTACTTGAGATAACATATTAAAATTGCAATTTTAACTCAGACAGATGAGTATACTGTATGTAGCAATCAGGAAAAACATTCTATAAGACAAAAGCAGCTATGTTTAAAGAAAGCACAATTATACTTCTGAAAAGTAATCTTACTAAAACCTAAATGTTCATTGAAAATTCCATTTAATAATACAAAATACCAGTGAAAAATACCTATAATCGCTGGAAATAAAGGAATGACAAGACTATGCCATTAAGCAGCAAATGGTTCCTTAAAAAAAGAAACAAAACCAAAAACTTACCCATCTAACCTAAATGGAGATTCCCAAAAATAATCTTTAATGAAGTTATGGTACAATAAATGAAGCTGTGGTACCACAAAAACACAACCATAGGAAAGAATTGCTTTGTCACATTATTTAAAAAATGTAAATGCCACAGCGGCACCTGTGGCTCAGTGGGTAGGGTACTGGCCCCATATACCAGGGTGGCAGGTTCGAACACTGCTCCAGCCAAACTGCAACAAAAAACAGCTAGGCATTGTGGCGGGTGCCTGTAGTCCCAGCTACTCGGTAGGCTGAGGCAAGAGAATTGCCCAAGCCCAGGAGTTGGAGGTTGCTGTGAACTGTGAGCTGTGATGCCACAGTACTCTACCAAGGGCAATAAAGTGAGACTCTGTCTCTTAAAAAAAAAAAAAAAAAAGGAACCTTCCAATAAAACTTTACTTTAAAAAAAAAATGTAAAAGCCACATCTTTAAACACTGGTTTTTAACTTTCCTAAAAATAAACTTCTTCCCATAAAACTTTTAACTACTAAGAGATATTACTGACCAGCAAAAAAGAAAGCTATGCTATGAAATACAACTGGCTACTGGCTATTTGATAAAAATTATTTTAAAATAACACTTATCATTAGTTTTTAATAAACCAAACCAAGCTGCCAGTTCATCACTACATAGAACCTACTGATAAAGGAAGATGCTTTTCAACACATTCAAAATTTTCCAGCTATATATATGTTATCTATAGTATCTAGGCAGGTATCTGTAACAGTAGATATTAGGACCTTTGAGGGGGGAGGAATGGGTTTAATTTGTATTTTTATTTTTGGATTTGCTTTCACTAAGAATGGATAGAAATATAATGTCTAACTGGTAATACAGGGTAATTATTATACTCTCAATGTTCTGAGACCTCAATTTTCAAATATCTCTATCTACTCCCAGCACTGAATAACTAAAGGCCTATGATTCACTGGCAGGGAAAAAGAACATAGACTATCTTTGTATCTTCAGCTCTTTATAATGTTTAGCATTATTATTCATAAAGTTGAATATGTATTATTAAATTAATTTTCATTATTAAGAGAATTTCACAGAAAACTTTTTACAAGAATATCAGTATTAAGAAAAAAATATTAAAAAATATTACCCTTCCTATGCTACAATTTAACAGTCAAGTACCAATGGGAAGGAGGGGGGCTCAGGGACTCATCCCACCCACAGAATGATTGTTTTTGTATGTTTGGTTGTCTGCCTTAACCTGATGAGCAAAAACCACTTCCTTGGGGTCAGTTCCTGACTCCACCCCTTTTTGGCAGGTGACTACTGGTTCATAAAATATCTTTCTGTAAATGAGATAATCATAAAGCCTTAGAATGCCATGCTAATCCAACATGTTACCATATTAAAATACTAATTCATGTATGTTGCAGTTTTCACCACATACACAAAAGTACTTAGTAATACTGACAATGTCTTAAAGATTACTGAATACTATTTTACCCAGCTTTACTTCTCTTGAGCTTATGAAATAAGAGTATATTTGGATGACAAATCATCTCATAACTATTTTAGAAGGAGCAAAATAAGGTTTCAGCTTCCTATTCATGTCTTCAAGTTGCCGTTACCTTCTAGAAATCCACTGCTACATGTGTCTATTAAAATGCAAAAGAGGTAGAGATTAAGATATTCTGTAAATTGAAAGACTGTCATTTTTCACTACCATTTGATCTATCAAGTATTAATAAAGTCACCTGAAGTTCATTACAACTATGTCCCCACTCAAAAAGCAATGCACAAGGCCCTCACTTCTTTTATTAGTTTTAATGTATTTCGAATTAGAATGTAATTTAAATTAGAACTAGCACATAATGTGATATTTTTAACAAATTTTAAAGTCTTTTACCAAAAATTAAGTGTTATGATTTAAGCTAAAACAACTTATTTCTAATCGATATCTTGAAAGATTGCAGTGTAGTAAAATAAAATTATAACAAAACCTCAGTTTTTATTTAATTCAACCTGTTGAGGTAAGTCTACTGTTATACCATTTTAGAGATGATAAAACTGAAGCAAACAGCTATTAACTAAGTCACAGTAATATAATTAGTTGAACTAGCCTATAAAATTCTGTAAATTTTCACCTTCACAAGGTACCTCCATTCTTCAGTAAGTCCAATAATTGAAGCATCCAAAAGGCAAGGTTATATTTTTCTTTTCTTTTCAAGACAGAGTCTTGCTCTACTGCCCAAGGGTAGAGTACAGTGACATCATCAAAGTTCACTACAACCTCTAACTCCTGGGCTCTAGCAATCCTCCTGTATCAGCCCACCAAAAGACAAGATTTATTATAACTTATCATTATATAATGTTTGTAAGATTATGTGTCTTTCCATGAAAATAATTACATTTCTGTATGCCCAAAAAGTTCTTATTCAAGTGTACTTAACAGATGACCAAGAAAGTAAGCAAAGTATAGCTGATTCCCAGAACCTAAGACCAAAAGATCTCTCCATTATTACAGCAGGTCTGAAAGTACAGGGTGAACATAAAGTTCATGTGCAATTTAAAGTAGTTTAACTTAGTAAATTGCACACAAACTTTATGGACACCCCGTATACATAATGGAGTACTAAGGATGCCCAAGACTCTTTCAGGAAGTGCACAAAGTCAAAACTATTTCATGGCTGGGCAACATGGGTCAAGTGTGATAATCCTAACAATTTGGGAGGACTGCCTGGGTTAGCAGTTCAGCAGCCTGGGCAATAGAATGGGACAAGGTCTCATTTAAAAAAAAAAAAGAAAAATTAGCCAGGGGTGGTGGTCCCAAGCTGAGGTAGGAGATCACTTGAGCCCAGGAGTTTTTGAAGCTCCAGAGAGCTATGATCATGTCACTGCACTCCAGCCTGGGCCACAGAGTGAAACCCTGTCTCTTAAAAACAAACAAAAACACACTAATGCACACTTTTATTAACACTAAGATATAATTATAATACTAGGATCTTGGCTTAGCACCTTAGTTTCAGTGGCTAAGGTGCCAGCCACATACACCAGAGCTGGCAGGTTCGAACCCAGCCTGGGCCTGCCAAACAATGACAATTGCAACAAAAAAATAGCCAGGCATTGTGGCGGGCGCCTGTAGTCCCAGCTACTTGGGGAGAATCAGGCAAGAAAATCACTGAAGCCTAAGAGTTTGAGGTTGCTGTGAGCTGTGACGCCACAGTACTCTACTGAGGCTGATACAGTGAGTTTCAAAAAATAAATAAATAAATAAATAATATACTACAATCTCATGAGGCTTTTTATTATGTCAATATTCACTACATTTGATGGTGCAAAAGTAATAGCTGAGAAAAGTCTCATAGTGTTTCTGCACATATCAAGGTACTTGCACCCAATTTTTCCTAATAACCACTGAATTTGGCACATGCATGAAACTTCAGTTTAAAAATTTCAATTACAGGTAGCACCCGTAGCTCAGTGGGTAGGGTGATGGCCACATACACCGAGACTGGTGGGTTCAAACCCAGCCCAGGCCAGCTAAAACAATGACAACTTCATCAACCAAAAAAAATAGGTGTTATGGTGGGTGCCTGTAGTCCCAGCTACTTGGAAGGCTGAGGCAAGAAATCACGTAAGCCCAAGAGTTTGAGGTTGCTGTGATGCCATGGCACTCTACCAAGGGCAATACCTTGAGAGTGCCCCCCCCAAAATGTTTTTCAATTATAAGTAACTGGATAAATTAGTAAAAATTATTATTTTTAATACATCTTAGATACATGCTTTTTTATGCATAAAGCACTCTGCATTCTGATTATGATTATTTCAAGAAAAAATATTTGTGACTGGGTATATGCCAAATGAGCCACTTTTTC